CATGATCCTTCAGAAGTCATTCTAATATTCTGATTTGCTGCTCAAGAAACCTTTCTAATTATTATCAATATTAATAACCGTTGTGCTGCTTTATTTTTATGGAAAACATTTTTCAGGATTCAAAAGAACTGCATTTATTTGAAATATAATTTTGTTGTGACTATTCATACTTTCGCTCAATTTAATGCATCTATGCTACATAAAGTATTTAATTTCTTAAAAAATTATACAAATAAAATATGAAATACGTTTAAAATGTTTTTATTTTGGACACTAGTGTGAGATGTCGTCATCGTGAATGTCTCTGGCCAGTGTCATGTTTTAATGTAGTTTAATATGAAGATATTACTTGATCATTCTTGGGATAATGATCTTAATTTGATTGCATCTCTAACCATGTTTGCTGGCAGTAGAACGGTCACGATGAAAAGCTTTAGCAGAAGTTCAGTTCCATGCATGGAGGATGCACCTAAATGATAAATGCCAACTCTCTTTCAGTCTAAAGGTGTTTTTGAGAAGGTTGGAGAGGCCACGGAGACGGCTCTGACCTGCCTGGTGGAAAAGATGAACGTCTTTGACACTGACGTCAGGAGCCTGTCTAAGATCGAGAGAGCCAACGCCTGCAACTCAGTAAATATTTATACAATTAATAAAGAATTATGCAAGCACTTGTTTAAACATGATTTAATAACTTTATATGTCTGTATGTGTAGGTGATCAAGCAGCTGATGAAGAAGGAGTTCACCCTGGAGTTCTCCAGAGACAGGAAGTCCATGTCTGTGTACTGTTCCCCCAACAAGGCCAAATCCTCTTCTGCTAAGATGTTTGTCAAGGTGCTAACCGGATACTTTTTTGTTGTTTACGGAATTGTTGTATTGACAAGTTTTTCAGATTGATAATTTGGGCTGTCTTCTACAGGGAGCTCCAGAGGGAGTGATTGAGAGGTGCACATACGTGCGAGTGGGTGGATCCAGGGTTCCCCTGACTCAAGGCATCAAGGATAAGATCATGTCTGTGATCAGAGAGTACGGCACTGGCCGCGATACCCTGCGCTGCCTCGCACTGGCCACCCGTGATAGCCCGCTGAAGAAAGATGAGATGATCCTGTCAGAAACGGCCCGCTTTGCAGACTATGAGGTGACTGAATTACTGAACTTAAACGATACTGTGCTATGCCAGTCTGCTGTCATGCTCATAGCTATGGAATAAAGTATTTATCCAAATAGTTAGATAGCTATCTAGAAACTAATAAAGTGTCTTTGTGTCCCATTAACTTGTTTGCTGTTTCGTAAATTATTTATTCATATAGCTAGTTAGCTATATAATAAATCATTTTTCCATTTTACCCTTAGAAGATTCTTTTAAAAAAAGTTAGATACTTTTTAGATGGCTAACATCTAGCTCTCTAATAAAGGTGTATTTGCACGTTGGTAGTTATCTAGCTAGCTACTTACCAAATACATACATTTTTAATCTAGCTAATTAGCTATATAATAAAGTTTCTACCTAGATAGCTATCTAATAGTTAACAATCTAAAAGGTTTATTCGCATCTTGGTAGAATTACTATCCATTAAACTGTTCATCCATCTAGCTATTTAACTGTTTAACATCTAGCTATCTAGAAATGTATCTAGCTATCTACAAAAATATATACAAGTAGTTTCATCTCACTAGCTTCTAGGGGTGGAACGATACATGTATTCGTACCGAACGGTCACGGTACGGACATCTCGGTTCGGTGCATGAGGCCTTACAACG